CCGGTCCCCGGCAAGCGGCGGGGCGGCCGCGGACCGTCGGCCTGGCCAGCGGCAGCGCTGATCGGCAGGGCGGCCGCGGACCGTTTACCCGACCTCAAGAGGGACGGACAGGGGACCGACGACGACGACGACGACAACGACGACGACGACGACGGCGACGACGACGACGGCGACGACGAGCCGAAGCGAGAGCGAGAGAGAACGACAGCAGGGCCACGAAGGGCACGAAGTAGGCCACGAAGGGCGACAGCGGGGACACGAAGGGAATGCGTATGGGGCCACGAAGAGCGCGAACGAGCGGGGGCCACGAAGTGCAGATAATGCGGGGCCATAGAAGGCAACTATGGGGCCACTGAGGGTAGCAACTGGGCCACGTAGGACAGTGAAGGGGACAAAAATGGCGACAGCGGAGCCACGAAGGGCATGCACGTGGGGCCACAACGGGCGCGACTCCTGGGTGCCTGGGTCAGGAGCGCGGCGCTTGGGCAAATTGCAAGAAATTCCAACGCAAGGCCATTCTTCAGTAAATTGCAAGCAAGTCTCCAGCGAGAGCGCGACTCCAGAGCGCCGGGAGAACGATTCCTAAAAAAATTGTAAGAAAGTCCAGAGCGAGAGCGCGATGCCTGGATAAAATGCGAGGATGTCTCGGGCGGGAGCGGGGGATCTGGCTAAACTGTAAGGACGTCTCAGGCGGGAGCCGTTGTTGTTGTAACCCGGGGGCCAGGGGTCCAGTTTGAGATGGAAGACTTTCCCTGTCAAAAAACAGGGTGCGAGCGTCGAGGGGCACACTTCGATTGAGAAAAAACAATATGCACCGGTGGGGGGGGATCAACAATAATTATTCTTCAGAAAAGAGAATTCAATCAGTTTAAATATGTTCGCTCTTACTGGCACGCGTGTCTTGCATTCCGTATGCCCCTACCCTCGATACCCGCCCACGTCGTCTTCGATTGCACCCCCATTCGGGGGGAATCTCTTCCTTGTCGGCCACTGACTGAAGTGCGAAGAAGTCTCGAGCGAGAGCGCCGTTCCTGCGTTCGGGGGCCTTTCTGGCCAGGGGCTCTGGGAATACCGATGGAGAAACATCGAACGGGAGACCTTGTCGCCGTGTCCGGGCCTCCACCAACTTGCTTGAATTACAAAAAAGTCTCAAGCGAAAGCGCAGTTCCTGAGTTCGGGGGCCTTCTTGGCCAGGGGCTCTCGGAGTAAAGCATGAGGAAGTATCGAACAGGAGCCCAGGTCGTCGTGGCTGGGCCTCCGCCAACTTAATTGAATTGCGAGGAGATCTCGAGCGAGAGCACCATTCATGAGTTCGGGGGCCTCTCTGGCCAGGGTGTCTCGGGGTAAATTGTGAAGAAGTATCGAGCGGGAGCCGTTGTTGTCGTAGCTTGGCCTCCAAGGGCCCACTTTTACACTCAAGCCAACGCTCGAGCGGGAGCCTCGCTTTCACAGAAAATGTAGCGGGCGTCGAGGCGAGAGCTTCCGAAGCTCAACAGCAATTATTCGTTAGAAATGAATATTCAACAACAACAGCAACAACAACAACAACACGAACAACAACAACAACAACAACAAGAACCATAACAACAACAACAACAACAACAACAACAACAACAACAACAACAACAACAACAATCATTTTACCCGAACGCGTGGTGTTCTCCCCAGTGCCAGGGTTTTCATACGACACCAGGCAATACCCCCACTTCGTGGGGGGGCATTACAAGCTCTACCAAATATCCAAACGACTCTTCGCGACCACCCAAACCCAGCTTCCCGCCCTATGACGTTGGGACACTTCACTTCGTGGCGTGCGGACGACCGTGGCTACTACACTGGCGTGGGGTACACACCCACAGAACTTGGTCACTTATTCGGGGCGCGCATGTGCCCAGCATGGTGCAATTGTGCCATACAATACATAATACAGAGAGACGAATGTGTCCCGCATGGTATTATTTGACAGGGATGATGGCCCTGGCAGGTGCGCAACCGTTGTCGCAGAAGTTCGAAAAAGTTGCTCGCAAAAGCCCGTTTGACAGAAATGTTTAAAAAGTGTTGGTTTCCTACGAATCCGCAAGAGCGCGCGGGATGAGATTTTGACATTTTTTTGTTGAAAAACCATTGGTTTTTTGATGTTTTTATGTTAAAATCGCTCCGAACACTAAGCTTTTGGAAGGATTTCGTCTTGCGCGCGCGAATGTCCACTTTACCTTATTTTTTGCAAGGGATTCTTGAAATTTGATTATATTAGAACAAGAAATGTCATTTTATAGTGTTTTTTGCAAGGGAAAACGGATTACAACAAAACAACCGGATCTGATCACATCGAATTACCTGAGGCTTCCTCACGAAAATGATGAAAACGTGGCTGCGGCCTAGGCGCGGCGGGGGGGGCGCGCACCAGGGGGCCCAACAATAATTATTCTTTAGAATTAATAATGTTCAACAACAACAACAGCAACCATAACCACATCCACAACCACAACCACGACGACGACAACGACAACGACATCGACAATGACAACAGCAACAACAACAACAACAATCATTTTACCCGAACGCTCAGTGTTCTCCCCAGTGCCAGGGTTTTCTTGCGACACCAGCCAATACCCCCACTTCGTGGGGGGGCCGTTCAAGCTCTACCAAATATCCAAACGACTCTTCGAGACCACCCACACCCAGCTTCCCGCCCTATGACGTTGGGACACTTCACTTCGTGGCGTGCGGACGACCCTGGCTACTACACTGGCGTGGGGTACACACCCACAGAGGTTGATCACATCTGTTACATATGATGTGGTACACGGTACACGTGAGATGGTACGCAGTGCCAAGATAGTTGGTCACATTTTTGGGGCAAATTCGTGGGGATGCGATTACAGAAGTACATGTGTTACACTGATGTTATACAGTCCCAAGGATGACGCATGCATTGCTCATAGACTCATGGCGCTATGATCCTAACTCTCAGTGCCCAACGCGCGCGTGCACAGCCAGACGGAGGGAGAGAAACACATGTATACAAGGTTCGTGACATACGCACGGTCCACCATGTTGTAAACGATCGCATGCACGGTAAGTTCTGAAATTATACGTATGTACAAGCAGAGCGGCGGCCGCGCGCATGTGCACTTCGTCTCATTTTTTGCAAGGGATGGTGGCCCTCGCAGGCGCGCAACCGTTGTTGGAGAAGTTCAAAGCACCTGAAGAAGTAGCACGCAAAGACCCTTTTGACAGAAATGTTTAAAAAGTGGTGTGTTTCCTATGAATCCGCAAGAGCGCGCGGAAGGACATTTTGACAATTTTTTCTTAAAAAACCATTGGGTTTTTGATGTTTTTATGTTAAAATCGTTACGAAACCTAAGGTTTTGGAAGGATTTCGTCTTGCGAGCGCGAATGTCCACTTTACCTTATTTTTTGCAAGGGATTCTTGAAATTTGATCAACTAAGAACAAGAATTTTCATTTTCTATTGTTTTTTGCAAGGGAAAACGAGCGTCAACAAAAAACCGGATCCGGGGGCAATCCACTTTTCTGAAGCTTTCGCAGAAAAATGATGAAAATGTAGCTGCGGCCTAGGTTTTGGGCGGGGGGCGTGCACCAGGGGGTCCAACAATAATAATTCTTTAGAAGTAATAGTGTTCAACAATAACAACAACTCCAACAACAACAACAACAACAACAACAGCCGCAACAACAACAGCAGCAGCAACAACCACAACTGCCACAACGACAACACATACAGCAACCACAGCAACCACAACAACGTCGTCGTCGATGACGTCGCCATCGTCATCATCATCAGTATCATCATCATCATCAGTAGCATCATCATCCGCATCGTCATGGCCAATTTCAAAGTAATAGTCGTTATCATAATAGCCATATCTGCCAATAACTGCAAGTGGCGAAACCTCTGCAAACAGACGTGGCGGCAAATACACGCAAGCCAGTGCAAGCTCGCTCTGCGAGCGCACGCCAATACGCATGCCCAGATATCCCTCGATATGCAAAAGAACCTCCGAGACGAGGCTGCCTGCTGGGCCGCACGCGTGGAGAGCAGCACTGGCGCATGCGTGAACGTCGATCCATTAGCAAGCAGCAACGACGGAGGAGGCCCCGAGGGGCACAAGGGCGAGCAGGGGGCCACGCAAAGCAACGAGAGGCGATCATCATAATCGTCGCCACCATCATCATCATCATCATCATCATCATCATCCTCACCCTCCTCGTCCGTATCATACTCACCATCATCAACAACAACAATACGATCATCCTCGTCGTCGTTGGCGTCATTATCATCATCATCATCATCATCATCATCAGCAGCAGCATCATCATCATCATCATCATCATCATCATCATCATCATCATCATCATCATCATCATCATCATCATCATCATCATCATCAGCATCATCATCATCATCATCATCAGCATCATATCCTCCTCTCTCCTCCTGCTCCTCCTCCTCAGCATCATCCTCATCATCGTCCTAAGTATCCTCATCTTCATCATCGTCCCCCTCCCCCTTCATATCCCCCCTCCTGCTGGTCCCGATTCCCCTGAATTTCACAGCGCGCGATCGTCGTCATCGTCCCCCCCCCGTTGCTCCCCCATCCCTCCATCCGCCCCTCCCCGCTGGGAGAGGGGAGGAGCAGGAAGGGAAGGCGGGAGCGACGAGGAGAGAGGGAGGAAGTGGGAGGATGAGAAGGATTAGTGGGAGGGCGTGCAAGACGAGGAGGAGGAAGAGGAGGAGGAGGAGGAGGAGGAGGAGGAGGAGCAAGGGGCAAGGACGAGGAGGGCGAGAATGAGGTTGGGAAGGACAAGGGACGAGGAGGAGGAAAAAAGAGGCAAGGAGGAGGAGGAGGAGGAGGAGGAGGAGGAGGAGGAGGAGGGGAAGTCGAGGAGCAAGGAGGAGAAAAAGAGGAGCAAGGAGGACGAGGAACATGAAAAAGGGAAAGCGAGGAGGAGGGAAGCGAGGCCCTCGCATTTTTTCCACTGCCGCGCGCGGGCGACCCTTGCGTCCGCTGGGCCAGCGCCAGAGGAGGAGCGAGGAGGAGAAGAGGAGGGAGGTCGTGCTTACTTTCACCACCACCACCACCACCGCAGACCAGGTGACGCCTGACCCGTGCGTTCTGTTGCACGAGGCGCATGCCGTGCCCAACGATGCACTGCCACAGGTCAGCCGCTCCAGGTCCACGGAGGTGGCAGTTGGCAGCGACAAGTAGGCCCACGAAGGGAGGAGGGGAGGACCCAGCACTCCGACTTCGCGATGATGGTCACAGCGAGGATCCCCTGAGGCATACACCGAGTTGCCCAAGACCACCTTGCGGCTCGGATCGTCTCTTACGGCCCTGAAGACCAGGTACGGGCCCCCAGGGGCCGAGAATGGCCCATGATTTTCCGACTTGATGAGCAGGCCTGAGAAGGCAGGGAAGGGGAAGAAGCGAGGAGGAGGGATAGAGACAGGGAGGGAAGAGGGGAGGCAGGAGAGGAGAGGAGCAGGTAGGAGGTTGGAGGTAGGAGGCAGGAGAGAGTAGGAGGTAGGAGGTAGGAGGTAGGAGGATGGGAAACGGTAGGAAGAGGAGGAGGAGGAGGAGGACAAGGAGGAGGAGGAGGAGGAGGAGGAGGAGGTAGGAGGGGGAGGAGGAGGTGGGAGGAAAGAGGAGTGAGAAGGAGGAGGAGGAGGGGGAGGAGGAAGAGGAGGAGGAGGAGGAGGAGGAGGAGGAGTAGGGCGGCGATTCCCCCCCCTCGGGGGGGGGTCGCAAAATTTTCCTGCATCGCCCCCGACTTCTCCAACGGCGATCTCGCGCAGCCAATTGTCATGTCGCGGAGTCTTCTGATAAGCACCCCCTGACCCCGTCACTAGAACCCTCTTTGCGATGTCAGCCGTGTCCCGCGCGCGCCGCCAACGCCGCCTGTCCGAGCCCCGAGCGCCACCGCGCCCCTGCTGTTAAGCTCTCGTACAAGCCGCGAGCTTGAGAGGACAGTTTTCGGGGGCGATCGGTCGCGGCGTTTCTGCTGCCCCCCTCATCTGGACGAAGACAACCCAATGGATCACGAAGCCGACCTGCGAGCCCAGAGCAATGTGGCCAAGAATATCACCTGCGGGCCACAGGGCTGGGGCGAGCACGACCGCCGACTGACCTGGATCAGGAGGGCCGTCACTATCACCCACGGGAGAGAAGACAGTTGTCGGACCAATTCGGTCGACGACTCAAGATGGTCAGGCCAAGATAAGGCGTCGATAGGTAGCGCCAGAGCTGACCGACTCACCTGCCAGGAGCGTGGGCCGACTTCAACGCGCCTGAGGGAAGAGCAGAGATGGGCCGAAAGCCGGCCGCACCTAAGTGGCCAGACGCCCCGCCTGCAGCTAGCCGGGCGCAGCTAGGTAGCTGGGCGCCCCGCCCCTAGCTGGGCCGAAAGTCGTCGACAGCTGGGTGGCCGGAGGCCCCTTTTAGGCAAAACCCCGAGAGCCTGAACAGAATGGCGCACAGACGCGGCCGCCTGCCAGCGGCCCGCCGCGGGCCCCAAGACGGCTCAATAAGGTTCCAAGACGGCCCGAAAGGTGTCCAATAGGACCTCAACTCGGCCCTTGGGGGCCCTGGGGCGGCCGTCAAGACCCCCACAAGGAAGCCTCCAAACGACCAAAAGAGGCGCCCGAGATGGACTCCGAAAGCGACGGACGGCCCAAGAGCGCCCTCAGACGGACGCAAGGCCCCCCAGGAGCCCCCGAGGCGCCCCGTGGACGCTGCCAAGATGCCCCAAGAATCCCCGAAGAAGGCCCAAAGAGGACCCCAGGGCTTTCCAATCATGTCGAACTCCAGGTCGATCCGCGCAAAGACGGCGCCAAAGGGCCCCTCCCCCTGTGGCCGCACCCCCCCGGAGCGGTACCCCCCCAGAGACTTTTGCGAGACATTGTGGAGTTCTCTCCCAGAGGGTAGCCCGCGCCGCCAGCAACGCCATTGGGGCATGTCTCTAGGGACTGCGCCAAACTAAATCGAGGGCCCTGGGAGAGCCCAACGGCGCCCGTCTGAGCTCCCACAGGGTCCGCGAGGCCCTGAAACAAGCCCTGGGAGGACCAAGACGCCCCGCCCACCCGCCCCCCGCGAAAGAGCATCTGAAACGGCCGCGTGAGATGCTCTACCGCGGGGGCACCAAGACGGCGCCCCGAGGGCCCCAAAAGGGCTGCAGGAGGGCCCGAGAGGGCCAGGAGGGGCCCAAGCCATGTCCTGCGGATCCCAGGAAACCCGAAGCGCCCCTCCACGGTAGAGCATCTGAAACGTCCGTTTCAGTTGCTCTGCAGCGGCGGGCCCGAGAGGGCGCCAGGAGGGCCCCAAGCTGACTCCAGGAGGGCCCAAGAGGGTTCACACGAGGGCCCTAAGATGGCCCGAAGAGGCACCCAAGAGGCCCCGAGAGATCCCCAAGATGCCGCCAGGAAGCCCCGAGGAAGCTCCCAAGCGGCCCCCAGGAGTCCCCAAGGGGCCCCCCAGAGGCACCAGAGATGCCCCAAGCAGCCCCTGCGACCGCAAAGATGCAACCAAGAAGCCCCAAGGGGCCTCCGAAAAGCGACCAAGAAAATATCTGACGACACTCCGAGAGGCATCGAAGAAGCCTCTGGCCCCTCCGCTCGCCGTCGTCCTCCTCCCCTCCGCTTCCTCATCCGCCTATTCGTCCTCCATCTCCGTCCACCCTCACATGTCCTCATCCTCCTTCGAACGACAACGGTTGCCCTCCCTCTTTGCTCCTACATGCCCCTGCTCACATCGACTGGACAGGGCGTCGTTTCTGGATGGGCTGGTGGGAAATTCGAAACGTGAAGCCTTCGTTCGCACTCAATTCCACCGGCCACATAAAAGCCATTCTGCGCATGTATGGTGGTTTTCCTAGATGAGCACAGGAAAACTGGCCCGGACCCCGGATCCAACGACCAGGCTCTACTTCTAACCAAAACTCACGCGGTCAATTCTGGTCTGTTCCAACACGAAACGCGCCTTCAAAACAGTACCTCGGGCGCGGCGCTTGACCGGGGATTTGCGCGCGACGCCCCCGACGCCCCGGATTACCCCCCCGGAGCAAGAAAAATCAGCTCCCGAGAGGAGGAGGAAGAGGAGGAGGAGGAGGAGGAGGAGGAGCAGGAGGAGGAGGAGGAGAAGGAGCGAGGCAGGGCGGGACGGGGCGCCGTTAGCGGCTGCCCCCCTCGAAGGCCCACTTGCGGCGCGCGCTGCCCGGGGCCGCCGCCGGGTCTCGGATCCACCGGCCGACCAGCAGACGTCAGGGGGGAGAGGGGGCGCAGGGCGAGGGGGGGGGGGGGCAGAGGAAGAGGAGGAGGAGGAGGAGGAGGAGGAGGAGGAGGAGGAGGGGGCGAAGAGGGGGGTGGGCGGCGGGGGGGGGTATTGAGGGAAGAAGGAGCGAGAAGGATGACGGAATCGAAGGGGGAGGAGAAGAGAGGGAGAGGAGAAGAAAGAGAGGGGAGGAAGGGCAAACTTGGTCCGCACGCGCCACATCTGACATCCTACCCCTCCGACCTATCCCTTCACATGCCATTGAATCATTTTATCCGCCGACTGGCGTTCCTCGAAGAATGTGGTCCCATTCTGGCAGTTTGGCTCAAGCCATTTTGGCTCAAGGTACGTTTTCGCTCGAGGTACGTCTTCGCTCAAATTCTAACCTGTCCTATTACTTCTCGCAGCTCGCCATGTCTTCTTCGCAGCCCGCAACGGCGTCGGATGCCACCGCGATCGTACCGGCTCGCGCACCGTGTACCCCCGTGGGAAAGCTGTTGAACAACCCGTTCATGAAAAAGGCGCGCAGTCAGTACTCGGACTCCCCTTTCTCACCTCTACTCCCGAAGGATGGCTACCAGAAGATGGAGGATGACCAAAATCAGGAGGAGCTGATCCCAGGACCAGTCGAACAGTTGAACTTCGACGGAGTGGTGGAGGACACCAGCGGGGGAAGTGGGCAGGTTACCATGGCGGGTATCGCAGGTATCCTCCGGAAGGAGATGGCGCCCATGACTAAGGCGAATCAGGACCTCCAGAAATGCTTCGGGGATCTCGACCTGCCCCTGTCCTCCCTCGCGGACTCGGTGGACATCCGCCTGAGCAACGTGGAGAAGCGCATCGGCATCACCGAAATCCAGATCGAGAAGCTCGAGAACCTCGTCAAGCAGATCGCCGAGAAGGGCAGCTCCTTTCACACGATCCCCCAGAAAGATTCAGGCGGCAATGGCATGGGAGGAGGGGGAGTGACAGACAAGCGGAATATCACAGCAGTGGTAAGCAATCTCGATTCGCTCGACTCGCTGGAGGCGACCAGTGCGCGGCTTCACGACAAACTTTCTTCGCCCCAGGGTCCACCCCCAGCCAAGGTCCACTCGAATGGGGACTTCGGCGGCGTACTGTTCGCGGAGTTCCAGAACTCTGGCCAGCGAGATGCGGCAGTGGATCTCTTGAGTTAGGTCGTGCAGAGGGAGGCAAACTGTGGAAAACAATGTTTTATTCAATGTATGGAATAAGTGTGAGAAAAGTGTGCAATCACGAAGCAGCCGAAGTATGAGCGTGAAAACGCAAAGACATCAATGTCTGAAATTAGATGCGCCCAAAGAGAGAAGTGTGACTTCGGCGAATCTTCGAAGTACAAGTGTGACTTCAACGAAAATCCGAAGTACAAGTGTGACTTCAGCGAACAGCCGAAGTACAATCTCGCAGTAATGTCCATGCTCTCAGCTGCGGCATGTTACCGCCATTGCGCGAACGGCACGCGCTGAAAGCACTCAACGCCCATGGTGTCCAACGCGCGCCTTTCCTGACTCGCAAATTCACGTGTTGGCGCGCGCGACGCCCCCGGGCAAACATGAAGGGGCCGCGTCGCAATCCGTCGGGCCGCGCGCCCCCGCATCTATCGAAGCCGATTTCTCCGCGCCCGCCCGCCTTTGCCCTGCGATTGCCTTGCTCGTGAAACGCGCAAGTGCAGCGGCCCATTGTTCATTGGGCCAGGCAAGCCCCACGCCGAACAATTCGCTCCACCGCGCCCCCGATGCACCCTTGAAGAGGGCGAATCCGAGGCCGGCGAATCGACCAAATTTCCCCCGCGCGGGCGCGCGGAAGGAGGCCGCCCAGAAGCCGTTGACGACGCAGCCCCGATCTTGGAAACCAGCCGCCATGGCAACGAAAGGGCTGGAAACGCGCGAGGCGAAATCAGCGCGCGCACATGCGCGCGGCCGCCTCTTGGTCTTCGGCGCGTCTCCACGCCGGGGCACAGGACGAGCGAACCCCCGACGCGGCGGGAGGGGCGCTCGAGCCAAAAAGGCAACGGAAAAGGCGCCGAGGAAAGAAAAAGGGGCGGGGGCGGAGAAGAAGAGAGAAAAACAACTTGGGAGGATGGGGGGGGGGGAAAAAGGGAGCGGAGGAGAGACGGAAGGGCGGGGCGAGAGAACGCGAGCGCCAGGACAAGGGAGGAGAGCCCGGACGGGCAGACGACGAGCACCATGGACCAACAACCTGCTGGAAACAGACGCACGGGACAAATGCGCCCAGTGGAGGGATGAAGGCAAGTTGAATGTGAAAGCATAACGCATAACAACAGGGCCCGAGTGCGCGGGCGTGTCGGGGGGGGGGGGGCAAGCCGCACGCTGCGCGCCCTGCTCTTGCCGCGGCGAACTCGGCGCAGGAATCGCGCTCGGCGGTCTACGCCATGCCCGACTCAGGACTCAGCGCGCGAAGCGCGCTGAACGGCTTGGGCGGTTTACGGCTCGGCGCGCGAAGCGCGCGAGACAATTTGCAGCGATGACAGCTCGGCGCGCGAAGCGCGCAAAACGGTTAACAATATCTACGCCTCGACGAAGCGCCCGAGGGCGATGGACACTCATCCCTGCATTTGCGTCGTCGCCCAGCCCGCCAGAGCGGCCCCGCCGAGTGCGCGGGCGCGCCGGGGGCGGGGGGGCAAGCCGCGCGCTGCGTGACCTGCTCTTGCCGCGGCAAACTCGGCGCAGGAATCGCGCTCGGCGGTCTACGCCATGCCCGACTCAGCGCGCTGAACGGCTTGGGCGGTTTACGGCTCGGCGCGCGAAGCGCGCGAGACAATTTGCAGCGATGACAGCTCGGCGCGCGAAGCGCGCAAAACGGTTAACAATATCTACGCCTCGACGAAGCGCCCGAGGGCGATGGACACTCATCCCTGCATTTGCGTCGTCGCCCAGCCCGCCAGAGCGGCCCCGCCGAGTGCGCGGGCGCGCCGGGGGCGGGGGGGCAAGCCGCGCGCTGCGTGACCTGCTCTTGCCGCGGCAAACTCGGCGCAGGAATCGCGCTCGGCGGTCTACGCCATGCCCGACTCAGCGCGCTGAACGGTTTGGGCGATTTACAGCTCGGCGCGCGCAGCGCGCAAAACAATTTACAACGTTGACAGCTCGGCGCGCGAAGCGCGCAAAACGGTTTACAATATCTACACCTCGACGAAGCGCCCGAGGGCGATGGACACTCACCCCTGCATTTGCGTCGTCGCCCAGCCAGGGCGGAGCGGCCCCGCCGAGCGCGCGGGCGTCGGGGGCGGGGGGGAAGCCGCGCGCTGCGTGCCCTGCTCTTGCCGCGGTAAACTCGGCGCAGGAATCGCGCTCGGCGGTCTACGCCATGCCCGACTCAGCGCGCGAAGCGCGCTGAACGGTTTGCGGGATTTACAATGCGCCGTGCAAAGCGCTGGACGGTTAACGACGTTCGCAGGTCGGCGCGCGAAGCACGCTGAACGGTTTGCAGCGCGTACAGCTCGGCGCGCGGAGCGCGCGGAACTGTTTCCATTATCTCCGCCCCCGCGCGCGGGCCCACGGGCAGTGAACGACAAACCTCTGCTGTTGGGGCGTCGCGGGGCGGGCCGGGGGGGGGCCGAGCGGGCGAGGCCCAGCGTCTGCGATGGGGGGGCATCGAAAGCGCGGGCCCCGGGAGGAGCTCCTGGAGGCGCCCCTCGACGAGCCTCTGGAGGAGCCTCTGGAGAATTCGGCCGCCGTCGGTTCCCCCCGGACGCGGCCCCAGGCTGGCGCCAGCGGGGCAGGGGGACGGGCCTCCCGGCCGCCCGCCGAACAATGCCTGGAGCGCGCGAGCGTCGCCAGCACGGGAAGCCGAGCCCTGGCCCGGGGGCCCTCGCGGGAGGCCCAGCCTGCGCGAGTCGCCAGGGCGGGGCGCCTCTCGACCCTGTGCCCGGCGAAGAACCGCGCAATGGGCACTGGGCGCTGCCGGCGCGGGGCGGCGCCCGCGCCTGCGCGTCGGCCTACGCTTGGCCCCGTCGCCGGGCGCGCGCATACACGGCGAGGGCCCGCGCCCCAGAGTCTCGACGCCCGCAAGCATGGGCGCGGAGCCCGCGCCCGATGCCTTCAGGGCCCCGGCCCACCAGGGCTGGGCCCGAGCAGCGGCCCCTGGGCCCGGATTTAGAAGTTCGAAAAAAGTTGGAAAAAAGTTTGAAGAAAGTTCGCCCGGATTTAGAAGTTTGAAAAAAGTTCGAAAACACGTTGAGAAGGTTGGGGCCGACTTGGAAGTTTGAAAAAAGTTCGAACAAATGTTTGGAAAAGTTCGCGAAAAAGTTTGGAAACAGTTTGAAAAAGTTTGAAAAAGTTTGACAAAAGTTCGGGAAAATAGAGAAAAATACTTTAACAAAATGCGGGCAGATTTGGAAGTGTGAAAAATGTGACAAATGAAAAAGTTTGCCCGGCTTTGGAAGTTAAAAAGAGTGTGAAAAGTTTGGAGAAAAGTTCAAAATTTGGAAAAGTGTGTAAAAGAATAAACAAAGTTATTTTTTTGAAGAAAAGAAGTGTGCCTGGATTTGGAACTTGGAGAAAAAGTGCGAAAGAAATTTGAAAAAGTGTGAAAAAAGTTAGAAAACAAGTGCGAAAAAATATAAAAAAGGCCGATTTGGAAGTTCGAAAAAAAATAGGAAAAAGTTGGGAACAAATTTGAAACAGTTTGGACAACGTTCGAAAAAAATGAGAATATGATTGAAAATAGCTTGCCTGCATGCAGAAATTTGGAAAAAAAATGTGCCCCCCCCCTCCCCTGGGCGCGCGCGCGAACGCGCCGGCGGGCGCCCGGCCTGTCGGGGGCGGGGGCCTGGGCCCCGGGCCGAGGCCCGGGCCCAACTGGCCGCGAGCCACGGCCGCGCATGCTCGGAATCTGCTCGGCTGGGGCACTCGCGCCAGGGGCCGCGGAACTCCGGGGCGCAGGGCCCAGCCCCCATTGCAAGGGCCCCGAACGCCCGCGGC